GTCACTTATCGCTTGAGCACGCAGTCGGGCTTTTCTGCTCGTACTGGCGAAGCAATGTGCCGGATTGAAGCGATGAGTGACAAAACAAGAGGCTCACCAGACAGCCACTAGTATCCATTTGCCAATAGTTTCTAGGCTTCTGTGTGTACTACAGCTACGTTGCGATGAAAAAGCGTGCGTAGGGCAAAAATAGTCCTTGACGGGACTCGAACCCGCAATCTCCGCCTTCGGAGAGCGATGCCTTATCCATTAGGCCACAAGGACATATGTTATCTACCTGCACATTTCAGCCAAAAGGTGAATACATGCATAAATGGATGATGAGTCACAGAGACTTACATGTATAAAATTTCACAGTCGACCGAGCTTTCGAGATAGTTGCTTATCTCTCTATTGGGTGCGTGACGAGACACGCAATATGTAGGAAAATAGAAATGACATTTATTGCGCAAATTCATTTTTCTTCTCATCGACAAGGAAGTAGGATTCTAGAACCATACAGCAAACTCCAATTTGGAAACTAATGGTCTCAAATGCCGCCTGAGAGTCTTGCACTGTTTTTCGTCAAACACAAAGCCTTCGCGAAATGTATCACGGATAAGGTCTAGTTGCTGTGTTTCTCGATACGTAACTTGCAATATCATGTATGGAAACCTTCAAGCAACGTCGCGATGCCGCACGACCGCCAAACACTTCGTTCATCCATCGAAAACAGAGACAACAGAAGTGACTTGTACTAGATTATAGCCTCGCCATGGACAGGATTTTGTAAAAACTTCGTGTCTGTTGTTATCTATATTTCCGTGACATGCAAGTGCAAATGAACCTTGATGCTGTTTGAGCAAGCCACAAGACCTACGGTTCTTTCAACCGTGTAATAGTAGCCGACTGACGTCCAGATCCTGGAGAATACTCACACTAAGAAACTCAATTCCTGTTGCAAATGGGCCTCATGGCACAAAATATGAGCACAACGAAATAAGGCATATATCAGCGATAGGCTTTACGTGTTGATGTAATAAGTGTGTGTCGGAAGGACGCCATTACTGTCGGCGGCACGCTTTGACAAGTAACGTGGTCGCATCGCCGTGCCCGTTCTTAGTGGCAATACTCAGCGGTGTGACACCGCACTAGCTCCGAATAAGAAATGAGTGGATGACCACAACCATACGAACATAATGCGTACATTGTCGGGGCAGGACGGGTCTGCGCCAGCATCAAGGAGGTGTGAGAGAACGTTTACGTGGCCATTGGCAGCGGCCACCCACACTGACGACTGTCCGGCCTGAAATAGAGAGCGACATGAGCCATCGTGTTCTTCCATAATCCTTTGTACATAGTTGCACTGGTCCACATCGGGGCGGTACTGCAGGAGCTTCGATACGATAGCCTCTAGCCCCGACGACGCCGCAACATGCAGTGCTGTCGAGCCCTCCTAGAAAAATGCGACGTGAGACTCTGAATCGCGACCGAGCTGTCTCGCACATCAGAGCTTTGGTCGACATCGGCTTTTGCAAGCAGTAAGGCATCGACAATCTCCTGATGATCCGCTCCGACTGCAATCATGAGCGGTGATTGTCCATCCTAGAAATGTAACAACCCAGTACAAAGACAGAGAAATCAACGCGCGTGTACGTTGCGACACTGGTTGCAGTCGGCGCCTGCGTCCAAAAGCAGGCGTACGACATCAACTTGTCCGGTCTTGGCAGCGATGAAAAGAGGTCCCGCGCCCGACTAGAGTCGTGTGACACCAATTTGGATTGGCGCTGTTTTCATACCTTTTTACTCTGGGTAACATTAGCGCCGGCGTCGAGGAGGAGAGAGACCACAGTTTTGTGTCCATTTTGGGCGGCGATGTAAAGGGGCGTTCGGCCCGCCTTGCATCATTGTTGAAAATGGTTGTATCCTATCAGTGAGTACCATATCGGCTTGGTTCAGAGCTGCGTTCCCGGCCAAGAGCTGGGCGACAACAAGGTCGTGGCCGTTTTGTGCAGCGACATAAAGCGGGTGGGTTCCGTCCTAACGACAAATGAGTCGATGTACAGAGACGCTCAAGAGTACATCTTTGGGCTGGTTGACATCTGCGCTCGATTGCAGTAGCCAGGCGACGACGGCGTCGTGGCCATACTGCGAGGCAACATACAGCGGCGTTTGTCCATCCTACGCGATCATGAGCGCCATTCTCATCCATCATTCATCGACTTCGCGGCTTTGGTCGACATTTGCGTTCGCTTTCCACAAAAGCTTTGCAACGCCGAGCTGGCCGTACTTGCACGCGGCGTAGAACAGTTCTATGCTCGCGCCTGAGAAGCGTTCGTCGAGCTCTGCCAGTCCATGGATGAGGTAAATGGGAGGAAGGAGTGCACGGCGATGGTATGCGCCCCATTTGTTTAGCGAGAGTCGCATCGTAGTCCTTGTCGTCGTTCAAGATGCGAAGAAAGAGCGATCGTAAACGAAAGCAGTCTTGAGGCTCAGCAAAGGCGTCAGACTCGCTACGACGGGCACGTCGGTATGATCGTAGTTAAGTTCAGAGCACGTATGCTTACTGGCCCCATGTGCTGCGCTGCAACTCCCATAATTACATCTCTTTTTGGAGTGCCACAAACAAAAGACATCGTACAGTGATGGACTCCTTCCTATTACCGCGCCGCGCGACTATACCGCCAGCCCTTTCTTTTATACTAATCTGTGCATTGCCTTGTACCGGTAGTACAAGTTTTTCCACGTTCGCCCCTCCACTTTCGTGTCAAACATAAAAAGTCCTTGACGGGACTCGAACCCGCAATCTCCGCCTTC